CTCTCCTGCAGAAACACATGTTCTCTGTGGTGAATGTTCTGTTCTCTCGCCCTTCAAAGCTCAATTTCACTTTTTACTCTTACACTCTCTCTAACCCCGCCTCCTCAAATTGCATGCATTTTTTTTCTTTTTACCATCAAAAATACTTTGAGTTCTCAATGTCTTAGAAAGTTTCAGACTTGATCCTTTATACCAAAAAAGGAGAAAAGATAGTTTAATTGGGTAGCTGGTTTTGATTTGTGAGTTGCGATGTGAAGTAGGCATCCTGCCTCTTAGGACATAGGTAATTAAGTTTGCAAGGTCGGCACGACATGCATGACAAGTTCCAAAGAGGTCCTGGCAAATCAGATTCAAGGTTCTGCGTGAACACCATCCTCACAATTGTTTACATTTCCTGTCTAGGAATCAGATTCACTACAGTTAATCCTGGAATTTTACTCAAGCCTTCGTACCTGAAAAACAAATTATTCTTTCACAAAGGTAATAGGATGCAGCTATCCTTTCTATCCTAGGAAAACAGCCATTGACTTCAGAGGTTTCTACTTGCAAAAGGGCAGAGCAAAATGCTGATTGCCTGGGCAGACCTAATAGTTATTAGATACTTACTGGATTATTCCTGGTGATGCTCTGAACAAGCCTTTCGCCTAAAATCCCTGCTTGATAAACTGTGGACATTCTCTTGAGCCAGATCAGATACAAGGACACTTGGACTCTTCATAACCTTTCGTTCTAGAGTTTATAAATGTGAGAACCCACCCTTTCCTCCTCCTAAGCAACAGCTATGATTACGCCCTGGAAGGAAGGGATAGGAAGTGTGTGAATACATAGCCCACCAATGGCTCAAGAGTCAGAATTTCCGAGAGAAAATACGTGATGAGAAGATTTCCCTAGGCTTTGGTGGGAAGGAGAAGAGTTTTCCTCAGGGCGTCTCACATGGCAGAACAATGTAAGGCAAAGTTAGAGCTAATATATAAAAAGCATCTGCTGCATCTAGCAGCATACTCTAACCTTGTAACCTTGTAATCATTTGGCACAGCGGGAAGAAATTCAGAACAAAACAGAACTATGTACTCAATATTCTTTGTAGGACTGTAACTTGAATTTAGGGGCATAGCATTTTAACCATCATATCGATGGTAGAAAATTGCCAGAAGACAAAGCTTAAATTAAGGATTGAGACACTTGATATACACTTCGTAATATAGTAATTAAGCTAACTTTTCAATAGAAAAGAATAGCACTATATCTTAAAGATGATCAATTTGGTGTTTTTTCTGTTTGTTTTTTTAAGATAGTCAATTTTTAATACTGTAGCCACGTCTTTGCAGGTTGCTGGGTTGATGCTCCTTGCTGATTAAGCAAAGCAACAAGGAAAAAAATTATCACATACTTTTCCCAATTTTAAAAGTCAGAAAAGAAGGGATGCTATATTCAGAATAAATCTAGAGAGCATATTACTTTTAAAAACATTTGAAAATGTCAGGACTCAGAATGAAAAATGAAATAAGACTAGTCTCCAGTTCATCTATTTAAAAATATTTCACTCTTGTAAAACAAAAACTAATTAGAAAGCTTCTCATTTTATGGGCTTTTGGCTCTCATTGAATATATTCAGTTAAAGTTACTACCGACCTGCCACCCTGGGTTCCTCATGTGAACTATTAAATAAAATCTTTATTGCATTTTCATCAGTAAATAATATTTACCAAGAGACTTCAGATTTGGAGCTAATTCCAACTTAGCAAGATTTTTAACAGTCATGATGAGGGCCCTCCAATTACATGTTAGTATTGCAAACAATATTATTTAAAAATATATGAGAACTTATAAAACAAATATTGGAATATTTACATTTAATTTAACCAAAAACATTTATCTCGATATTTTATTAGTGAACTTTCTAAGGCATTGAAAATATCTAATTTGGTGAACATGCTTTTTTTTTTTTTTTTAGTTGGAGTCTCATTCGGTCGCCCTGACTGGAGTGCAATAGCCGCTCCTGGCCACCGCAGCCTCGACCTGCTGGGCTCCGGCCGCTTCAGCCTTCCAAGTAGCCAGAATTACAGGCATGCACTACCACACCCGGCTGATTTGTTGATTTATTGTAGAGATGAGGTCTCACTGCCCAGGCGGGTCTCGAACCCGCGGGCTCAGGCAATCCACTCACCTCAGCCTCCCAAAGGCGCAGGATTACAGGCTGAGCCACCGAGCCTGGCTTGGTGAACATGCTTTTTTATAAAATATAAATAGGTTTAAATTAGACTTTTAGCCGCAAAAAAAGTTACAAACTAAAACATTTATTATGATTATGGTATTTAAAATTCTATGACTAAAAATGTTGATGTCCAGCCATATAGTCCTTTTTCTTTTTGTTTGCTTTTTTGGTGGAGGTAGTTTTGTCATGTGCTCACCATATAAAACCTACAGGCACCAGGATATTCACTGAAGCAGAGTAATAGCAGTAAGGAACAGGATACATGATAAATGTCTATCAACAGAAGACTACTTCAATAATTCAGATATGGCCAGAATTCTCTGCAAACTTTTGCTCCCATAGTCCCAGCTACTTTGGAGGCTGGGACAGGAGGACCAAGAAATTTGATACACTTATACACTGACATGGTAGAGTAGTTTGTATAGAAATTAGTGAAGAATAAAGGGTGTGTTTATATACATATATATACACACCGAAAGAAAATATATAGAATGTACTAGTAGTACATAGAAAATGAATTGAATGGTCACACTAACTATCTCAATAGATGGAGGTGTTTCACTTTGAGTTTTTCAATTTTACACTATTTGACTTTTCAAAGCATGCATATTATTTCATTTATACATTTCTTAAATTTGCATAAAAACAATGATTGATATAATAGGGCTCCCTTATCCACATATCAAAATATTGATGGTGCTTACTTCAATGGAAGATCGATTTGTCAATTTTTTTCTTCTTTTTCTGTATTATCTATTTTTCTACACTAAATATGAGTGACTATGAAATAAAGAATTAAGTTTAAAAATGTTAAAGCAGGCCAGGCTCAGTGGCTCAGCCTGTAATCCCAGTACTTTGGGAGGCCCAGGCAAGAGGATTGCCTGAGCCCGCAGGTTCGAGACCCACCCGGACAACTTGGCGAGACCTCGTCTTTACAATAAATCAAAAATTAGCCAGGCGTGGTAGCGCACAACTGTAGTTCCAGCTACTTGGAAGGCTGAGGTAGAAGGATCGCAGGAGCCCAGCAGGTCGAGGCTGCAGCGGCCGGCAGCATGCCACAGCCCTCCAGGCTGGGTGACAGAGTGAGACTCCAACTCAAAAAAAAAAAAAAATGTTAAAGCAGAGAACAGAGCATTTCCAGGAGAGGGGAAATGTGCAGAAGCAACATGCTGGGAAAGAACATATCTTAAAGTATGTAGTGGTGAAAAGAGTTACTAGGCTTTATTAAGTTGTACTTTTAAAATGAGTTCTTACTAATTAATTCTTCACGGCAAAAATGGCAGCAACTTCAGATAATTAAGAAGTCCCAGGTGTTTACATATGCCCATTTCTTAAGTATCATGAAAATGCAGCATGCTTTCATATTAAAGATCACAGTCAGATTTTTTAAAACTGATATTTGACTGGGAATAGTTCATCTTCCTAATAGTTGCCTCAGTAGTCCATGGAAATTAAAACCATTGCTTCATTTACTGAGAATAATCCGTAATTCACCAAACAAAGATGCTTTAATTAAAGCTTACTGGAAATACCACTGAAACGAATCAAATATGTTGAGTCATTTCTTTTGCTTATATATTTATAAACTCAGAATTACTGCATTCTACCCAAAAAGTTTGCAGATGAGCCCAAAAGAATGATTTGTATCTGCCAAGGAAAGCACACAGACTTGTCAACCTCAGTTCGTGATGATCAGCTGGTATCTTTTATGCCATTTCAGAATACTTTTTATGTACCAGTGTATGTAAATTTGGATAATCTGGCACTGTTGCCACTTTTTGATAATCTGGTACTGTTGCCACTTTTAGGACTTCTCTGAAGGATCAGCATCTGCCCCACAAAGCATGCCTCAGACTCAAACACAATCCCTCACTCAAAGCACCACTGAGACTATGGTAAACCTGGAGGGAGACTTCATGTTATTCTACTAATATTTTTTAAAACTACAAAAAATGGACAGTCCATAATATCACATAGCAATAGACACAAGACAGTCATATTTTTCTGGGATAGAGTAAACCTCCAAAAATGTGTCTCTGCAAGAACAGGTCTGAATGCACTACTATTTATTCATAACATACATACATTAGGCAACCCTACCGCTTTGTTTTCTTGCTCTTTTAAAATAAAAACAATAAATGCCAATACCATACAACTTAGGCCAGGCACAGTGGCTCACGTCTGTAACCCCAGCCCCTTTGGAGGCTAAGGGGGAGGATCACTTGAGGTCAGGAGTTTGAGACCAGTCTAAAAAAAAAAAAGGAAAAATAATTTAAGATACATTGTAATATAAAAAGTAAGTGTTCCCTCAACTGCTGTCTTTCAGTCACCCAGATTGTCTTTAGATAGTTTTTATTTATACTCTTAAAACTTTGATACCTTTAAAAAACAAAGAATAGACTGGGACCAACTTTGTTTCCAGATATTTCCAATATCTCAACCCTAAGCAATAAATAATCATCCATCTTTCCCTCCCTTGATATGCAGTGCTATATTCAGTAAAATCTAAATTTCTCTATTTGAGTCCATTTCTAGATGTACTATTCAGTTCCACTGATTTGAAAGTACATACAATGTTTAAGTATACACCTGGACTCCAGAGCCAGCATCCACTGGGTTTGAATCTGTGTCCTACTGTTTACTGACTGTGTGTCCCAGTTGTTTAAATTGTCTAAATTTCTCATCTAAAAAATGGGGATATTAAGAATCACAAGAGGAAGGAAGCCAAGAGGCGGCGGCGGGAGCGGCATGCGGCCGAGACGTTGCTTCTTGAGCGGAGCCCAAGATGACGGGTTCTAACGAGTTCAAGCTGAACCAGCCGCCCGAAGATGACATCTCCTCGGTCAGGTTCAGCCCCAACACCTCCCACTTCCTGCTGGTCTCCTCCTGGGACACGTCCTTGCGCCTCTACGACGTGCCGGCCAACTCCCTGCGGCTCAAGTAGCAGCACACCGGCGCGGCCCTGGACTGCGCCGTCTGCAATCCAACGCATGCTTGGAGTGGAGGATTAGATCATCAGGTGAAAATGCATGATTTCAACGCCGATCAAGAAAATCTTGTTGGAACTCAGGATGCTCCTATCCGATGTGTTGAATACTGTCTGGAAGTGAATGTGATGGTTACTGGAAGTTGGGATCAAAGAGTTAAACTGTGGGATCCCAGAACTCCTTGTAATGCTGGGACCTCCTCGCAGCCTGAAAAACTGTACACCCTCTCGGTGTCTGGAGACCGACTGATAGTGGGAACAGCGGGCCGCAGGGTGTTGGTGTGGGACTTGCGGAGCATGGGCTACGGCGGCAGCGCAGGGAGTCCAGCCTGAAGTACCAGACTCGCTGCATTCGAGCTTTTCCGAACAAGCCGGACTATATATTAAGCTCCATTGAAGGCCGAGTGGAGTTGAGTACTTGGATCCAAGTCCTGAGGTACAGAAGAAGTATGCCTTCATATGTCACAGGCTAAAAGAAAATAATATTGAGCAGATTTACCCAGTCAATGCTATTTCCTTTCACAACATCCGCAATACATTTGCCACAGGTGGTTCTGATGGATTTGTAAATATCTGGGATCCATTTAACAAGAAGCGACTGTGCCAATTCCATCGGTACCCCACCAGCATCGCATCACTTGCTTTCAGTAATGATGGGACTACACTTGCAATAGCATCATCACATATGTATGAAATGGATGACACAGAACATCCTGAAGATGGTATCTTCATTCGCCAAGTGACAGATGCAGAAACAAAACCCAAGTCACCATGTACTTGACAAGATTTCATTTACTTAGGGCCATGTTGATGATGATAAAACAATTCGTACTCCCCCCCCCCCCAAAGAAAAAGAATCACAAGAGCCGGGCTTGGTGGTTCAGCCTGTAATCCCACGCTTTGGGAGGCTAAGGTGAGTGGATTGCCTGAGCCCGCGGGTTCGAGACCCGCCTGGGTAACTTGGCGACACTGCATCTCTACAATAAATCAAAAAATTAGCCAGGTGTGGTAGTGCGCGCCTGTAGTTCTAGCTACTTGGAAGGCTGAGG